TGTCCTTACTACACAGATCTGAATCTGGAAATATTTTGTCGATTTCTTTTATTAGAAGCTCTTCCCATTTCAACAAAACCGTATAATGGTTCAAATGGTTCAAATGGTTGCGGACGGAATAGAAGAAGCTTTCGCTTAACAGGCTTCCGTGTCTAGTAGCAGGGGATCACCAATACCTCCAGGCAAGAACCTAGGTATATTAACGATAAAACAGAAAGAAAATGAATTGGTAAATCATAGTAGGATACTATCCTTAGTCCCTAAGAATAGATCAAGTCGCCTCTTAAAGGACTCCTGGGAAGTTGCTTGGACTAGCTCAGCTGGCAGCGAATTCCAGCATTTGACAACTCTTAAGGAGTAGAAATTGTGTCTGCAGTCCGTTCTACTATGTTGTATCTCCAGTTTTTGGGTGTTACCCCTTAGGTTAGTGTTGGGACTAAGCTTAAGCAGGTGTTTAGGAAGGTGTCCAGGTGTGTTAAGGATACTGTAAGCCATTAGAATGTCACTTCTAAGACGCCTGTACTGTAATGGGTAAAGGTCGAGTGATTGGAGGCGCTCATCGTAAGGTTTAAATTTCAGTCCCGAACTGATTTCGTGGCTCGCCGTTGGATACGCTCCAGAGTGTCCTTATCCTTTTGGAGTGTAGGAGGGAATACTATGTTCCCGTACTCTAAATGGGGACGAATGAAACTATTGAAGATTATGAGGAAAGTTCTCCCGTCAAACTGACCAAAAATGCGCTTCAATGTTACCAGTGCCAGGTTTGCTCGAAAGGCATTTCTGTCACAGTTGGCGTAAGACTTTAAGTCGTAGGGCACCAGAACTCCTAAATCTTTTTCGACTCGGGATACTACTAGAGAGGAGTTTCCTAAGTTGTAACTGTAATCTGCGACGTGTCGCAGATGGACTACTTTACACTTTGAAGTGTTAAAGGTAAGTCCGTTATCATCTGCCCAACTTTGAAGTCGAGTCAGATCCTCCTGAAGTGCCTGTATGTCCTCTTGGTTGCGTATCTCTCTCCAAAGTTTCACGTCATCGGCAAAGAGCAGTATGTCTGACGTTACCTGTTGAGGAAGATCATTTATATAAATCAGGAAGAGGAGAGGTCCTAGTACTGAGCCCTGGGGGACCCCACTAGAACATTCCATAGCGCGTGAGAAATTGAAGTTTACCCTGACCTTAAAATGTCGATTTGTGAGATATGAACTGAGCCAGTCAATTAAAGGTGGTTTGATTCCCAATTGTTTGAGCTTGTTAATAAGACATGTGTGGTTAACCCTATCAAAAGTATAGAGAAATCAAGGTAAATAATGTCTACCTTCCCCTTGCGATCAACGATGCTTGTCCATCTGTCCACCGCGGTCAGCAGGTTCGTCATACAGGAATAACCCTTCCTGAAACCATGCTGTGGGGTTAGAAGAAATTTAAGGACAGCAGATAGTCATGTATATCATCGTATACCAGGGACTCCATGATCTTTGAAGGTATAGAGAGAAGAGCGACCGGTCGGTAACTTGAAGGTTCGCTGTTTCGACCTCCTTTGAAGATCGGTATGATATGAGCCAGCTTCCAAATATCCGGTAGTTTGCCTCGACTTAGCGAGTGTGAGAAAATCACGCTAGGCAGTGTTGCCAGGATTGAAGCTGCTTCCCTCAGTATAGCAGAGTGGACCATATCTGGACCAGGAGACGTGTTTGTTCTTTGGTGTTGTAGTTTACGGAACACCAAATCAGCGCTCAGTTTCACTACGGAAAGTCCTGTGCAGTTGCAAATAGAGCCGTCATCAGTATAGTTGATGTGGGACGGTTGAAACGTCTGGGAGTATTGCTCAGCCAGAAGGTTAGCGGCGTCACCGTCATTATCGGTCTGGCCGTTAAAATCTATCAGTTGAGAAACTCCAGTTTTGGCTTGACGAAGAGAGGCTGCGTAACGGAATAAGCTTTTCGGATTGGAAATAAATTTATCTATAAGCTTTAACTGGTACTGAAGCCTGTCTTCTCTTATAGCCTTCGTACATATGTTCCTTATATGTTTGTATTGCCTGTACTCGCCATTGTTGTTGTTGGTTCGTTTGTATTCTGCCCAACAGTGCCTTTTACGGCTTAGCAAACGAAGAGTGCGTTTTTTGATGATTGTAGGTTGCATGTGGCTTTTGGGGACCGTTTGAGGAACTGACTGCTTAGTAGCACATGGGAGCGTGTGCAGTAAGGAGTCCTAATGAGCATCCACATCAAAATGAGGGTGAACATCCCAATCCACCTGTTGTAGATAGTCCTGTAGAGCTGACGCATTCAACCGTTTGAAGTTCCAGCGCCTGTTGTTGTCGGGATATCTTAGCTGACGAAACTGAAGGCTATAACGGCGTGATCGCTTTTCCCCAGGGGAGCCAGAATTGAGAGATTGTCGAGTAGAAATCCTTCGTTTGTAAAAACATGGTCTAAGCGCGACGGTGTCTGACTGTTCCTCCAATGAGTAACCAACTTCACATTTTCGTGTAGTCCCAAGTCCTCAATGAGGTTGAAGAACCGAGCTTCGATTGAATTTTCACCTCCAGTATACGTATGTTCCGCGAAGTTGACTCTAGGGAGATTGAAGTCCCCTAGGATCAGGATATGAGTGAAGCCGAGACGTGTAGAGCGGGATAGTCCCTCCAGCATGCGACTGTCATACTCGATGTCGGCAATGGGCTTCCTATATATGACTCCGACTAGGCACCTCGAAGTAGTGGACAATCTCATAGAGCACCATATGGATTCCTCAAGATTGTCAAACTCGTGGTTGTGGATTCGGTGTACCACCAGGTCAGATCTTATGTATAGGGCTACTCCACCCCCAATTCCTGTTTTTCTGTCATTGCGAAACAGAGACATCCCAGGTATTGCTAGCTCCTGGTCCGAATACTGAGGAGATATCCAAGTTTCAGATATTCCTATCAGATGAACTTTATTAGCGTTGCTAAGTTCACTTAGTTCATCCATTTTATTTGGTAGACTCGCGGCGTTCATGTATAAGCAGTTAATGCTTTCAATTTGAAACGCGTGAGCTTCTTCCTGTTTATCTGTGAGAGCCTTACGTGAGTGGACAGGTAACCCACCTATATAAGTTTTGTCGAATTGGTAGGCCCTGTCCTTTACACGTTTTTTTGTCTTGAAGACAGTCCACAAGTAGAATGGTCAGTTCCAGCTTGCCTTTGTGCTTGATCCTGGCGTCGTATGGCCTATCCGGGTGCATATGGATCCCAGTTGGCAACCGACGTCTGTTGACACGAAATGCTTCCAGAGTTGCAGCCGCCATACGGGAGGATGGAAAAGTTATCCTCATTAGTCGGGGTCTAGGATCGCCGTCCTTCTTGGCTAGTCTCATCACATGCTGAGACAGTATGTTTTTAAGCCTCAAGGACTGTTTGATGAATTTCCATTCCCGAATGTCAGAGTTTGCTTGAGTAGGGTCCATGTTTTCCGGTACACCTTGCACGATGATATTTCTTCGCGGAAAAACTTCTCTCGAGAATCTTTAGGGACGTTTCGGATGAGATTGCGGTCAGAATATGGTATGTCAGTCAGTATTCTGACGTTCCCATCGGATTTCAGTAGATGACTGGCTAGCAGGACATCCTCTACTTCGGTAGCATTCTTGAGTGTTACACGGAGTAGTCTCGGGTGATTTTGATGTTTAGAATCCTTTCCCCGAGTGAGCCGTGTGACCGTCAAAGGCTCTATTCTAGGGAGTTCGAGCTTTTTGTTCAGTTCACCCCAAAGCATCCTGTCATTTTTGTCCTGTAAACTGCGAGGAAGGTCAGGATTGTCTATGAGGTTCATGATTATGAGAGAGCCGTCACGGACCGTTGTTGTTTTCCCAGCTCTTCCAGTGCGTTCAGGTTCAGTACGTTGTTGTTTGGAGGTCGAAGCAGGTTTTTGAATCGTAGGCTTTTTAATAACCGGGCGGACGGTTTTGGGGGTAGACTGAGCGATCAAAGCACCAGTTGATGTCCGTACAACACTTGGGATGTCAACCTTGGACGGTGACACCTGGTCCTTATTAGCTCTGTTGGCGTGGGTACAATCACCTGCAGAGTTTTTAGGAACCACTGTTGCGTTTAAGGACCCTGAACTGGGAGATCCAATTTTAGTGAGGGAATCAATTATTGTCGACGTAATGATGGTGCTGAGTTTCAACATGTCATCATTAGTGCTAATGCGCGTTCCATCGATGGTTGACTTGTCAACATCCCTGTTCTTATTTTCGTTACGCGCCCTCGTTTGCCTACCTATTTTATGGCTATCCGTTTCCAAGTTTACTGACAATTTATTCCGCAGACCTGTCAGTAGAACAATAATATTGCTCAGCAGCACTACAGCGTCCGTGTTGCACGTAACGCACACCCACTTACGGTCCGATTTGCTGAGTCTCTTGTAAGCCGTTGCTGTCAGATCTGTGCACGTTTCGTGAAACCAACCTTTGCAGTTGTCACACTGCATGCCAGATGTAACAGCGAAACGGCATCCAGGTCTTTTACATGAATTTTTCATGGCTGTATTTACGTAAACTGTGCTAGAGATAGTATCAAAGCTTAAGACCGTTAAAAATACACTAAAAACCACACTAAAACGGGAAAAATGTATAAAAACGGGTGAGATAAAATGAAATAGCCTTTACGTGAAAAACTGAAAATAAACCGAATAGTAAGCTGAGGCAAAACCGCAGTTAACTATTAAATTGGGTGAAACTAAAAAAAAGTAATCTACCGAACTTATAGCTCAGAATAGATTGTTTAGATCAGAAATGGTACTTTTGTTGCGTAAGAACACAGCAAAAGTTTGAGAAATGCAAACCACGTTAGGACTAAACTTCCCGTTCGAAAAGCGCGGTAAATAATATTCTATAAAATATTTTATTCAATGGGCTGGGGCGTGATAAATAGTTTTGGATCTTGGAATCTGGAGTTAGGTTTTCAATAAGTTGTGTTTATCAAGTCTTCAGCCTTGATCTTTAGGTAGGTCATACAAAGTCAGGGTCACTCTTATAATGATGATTTCCGGGATCTTGTAGTTTAGCAGTGTTTTGAGTTATTTACTGTAGACGTACTGGATTTATTTGTCATATTTAAGAATAAATACTTAATGGCTGTTTCGAAACTGGTATTTCTGATTCACAATGACTAGTAATCATAAGCCTTCTGGTGATAATTATATGGATTCCATGTGTATAGGAATTTCAAAAATATTGCATCAGAGTCATGCTGAAGAGAATCCTTCATCTGTTGAAGTTTCACGTCCTTCAGTTTCTAACGATATCGATAGTGACCCATATTTCCAAATTCACGAGGCTTCACGCAGTACTGGAATGTTAGACATTAACCCGAAATGTATGGTGAAGGATTCTAAACATGGAATTCGTCTTAGTAGTCGAAGACGCGGTTCAGATATCAGTAAAAAAGCCGTCTTTGTCCAACCTCATGATGGGAAGCTGTTCAAAGTTGTGTCAAAACACAGTATGAAGAAAGCAAAACCTCCCGTAAGTTCTGCATAATTTTTTCTGACCCTTTGTTTTCTCAGCCCATGTAGACGACATTTTAAACAATGTGAAAGTTATCGTTTTTACTTAGATTTTTTCTCGATGAAATGTTGATATCGACCAATACTTCTTTTAGGGTTGGTAACTTTTACCAACGGCTTTTGCGGAGAGACTAATTTATGGACGAACCAATTTAATTAACGACAACGGGTCTTCAACACGAAATTCTTTATCCATTTGGCTAAATAGTAACTCGGCATTTTAGCTAATGTCAGCTGGTCATTAAAACCCTAAGTCTAATCTCGATCCCTAATCATTAACTGTAAATCGCAATCCTTGTATTTCACACAGACTTATTTAGCCCTAATCAGTAGGTAGACATTCGCAAGGCCAGTTAAGAGTCGCTCGAAAATCTTCCATAAACTATAGTCTCATCGCTTTTGTTTGCACTTACAAGGTCGTCTGTTTATTTTGACAGCTTTGATGGAAAGATTCAAATACTACATCTAATATATGTTAGACTACATATGTAATATAGGGATCAAATATTTAGGAAATTCCGGAACAGGTTTGAAAAGTAGGAATTAAAATGGGAGAGGCTCATCATTGTTATTTCTATAAGGAGAAACCAAAATGTTGGAGTCTCCAGAGATTGAAATGGGCCTTCATTAAATTCATGTGCAGAAGCAGGAATTATTATATCTTTATGTTGATATTTTCGGGGTAAGTTTGAACTGGTACTGTGGTAGGCAACTGGAAGATCAGTACTGACTACATATTCGATCTTTACTACTGAATTCTGAAATACACATCGTAATGTTGCTGATTAGTAGTTGTGTCTAGTGTGAACCCGTAATTATCGTATGTAAGTTAGAACTATTTAATTAAATGTTTACGATGTACTATGCTAGGTCCATATACAGTTGTTTCACTCTGGAACACGTAAGAGTCAAAATGTCAGATGGACAGAAGCATACACACCGTAGGTACGGTATGTGCTTTATACTTTCGAAGTGCAAAGTACTTCTACAAGACTGGCAGGATTCTAACCATGTACTCACCCTGAATGATGAGCAGATAGAAGTAGTCGAGAAGTTCGTGTATCTAGGTAGCTGCATAAGTGTTGGTTGTGGCGTGAGTGATGAGATCAATGCACGTACAGTGTAAGCTAGAGCGGCTTATGCCAATCTGAGCCATCTTTGGCGCCTTCGTGATGTTAGTCTGGCTGTAAAAGGTCGGATCTACAACGCGTCGATGAGAGCAGTTCTGCTCTATGCTTGTGAAACCTGGCCTCTCCGAGTTGAGGATGTTAGACGACTCTCTGTGTTCGATCATCGTTGTCTCCGAAGGATTGCTGACATCCAGTGGCAACACCACGTTAGTAATGCAGAGGTTCGGCATCGTGTGTTCGGGCACAGAGACGATAATGCAATTGGTGTCACCATCTTGGAACACCGACTTTGGTGGCTTGGACATGTTCTACGAATGTCGTCCCAGAGAATTCCACGTCGTGCATTATTTGCCGACTCTGGGACTGGTTGAAAAAGCGGAGAGGTGGTCAGTATATGATATGGTGTTATGGTATGAAAGAAAGCTGCAAAGGGCTGGCTTGTGTTGGTCCTTTCCGACTCCCTGGCTGGGGTCTGAGAGATGGTGCAGCACAGTGGCTAGAGACTTTATCAGATATGGCTCAGAATAGAAGCCGGTGGCGATCTTGCTGCAACCTTCTTTTACTTTCTTCATAAAAATTGATTATATCTTACTTAGCTGAAATTCTTCTGATTGTACCTTTCCGTTTCCCTCATCATTATTATTGTTATTTCACTACCATGCACTAATCTGTGATCTCTATTGTCCTTTTTTCTAATACGTTCCTTACCTTCTTTTTCTCTTTTTATTCTCATTGTTTTGTGTGGCGCACATATATCTGGTGCCCTCTTGTACCAATATTTATGTGTTCAAATAAATAAAGAAATATACACACCCTATGACCTAGTAGAGTCGGTGTGCGTATTGCTGATGAGTCCTATATTCCGGCGAAAGTTCTGTGATCCCTGGCTTCCAGTGTTTGTCTACCCAAGATCAATCAATAATACAGACTATCTTCAGACACATATTTCCTCGCCTACGAATCTTATAACAGGCGGTGGTTGCGTTTCGTAGTTTCTGCTTTACTTTTTGCACCTAATGTTAACTATGTGCATATACTCTCGAGTTTTAAGAGAACGATGCATTGTGAAGGGAAAGTAGGATTAACCTTTTAGATTCTAAGTCTCGTATAGATGAAAAAGTAAAGCGCATCGCTACATCACACTACAATTAGACTTCTTAAATTAAGGAAGATATATTTGCACAATATTTCTATCATTACAGCTGTTATTTCGAAGTTATTTATACTTTTTGGCATCTCGTCTTTAGTGGCTTGGAACAGTGTTCTAGTTAGAGTTATTTCCAACAAAGTTTTATAGTCGGGTACCAAAACTCAGGAAACGTAAGGTGTCGTCAATTGTGTGGAATTGTTAAATTCTAGCGATTATTTCATAACATTTTGTCAAAGCATTTTATCTAAACATAATGCGGCCGTCAAGTTCAGTTTCAGCCTTTCAAAAGTATTGTATAGTATATTCTGAGTCGACGCTAATTTGTTTATCCATGTGACTATTTTTTCACCATGTTTTAGGCTTCAATGAGATGTTTGCAAAGTATCAATCTATTTCTGTTTCAGGATATTAGCAAAGAAGTTGCTCAATGTCGAGAGTCCCATAACGACTACCTTGACTTTTCTAATATGAATCTTCAACAGATTCCAAATGCGATTTTCAAAGATTTATCCTTTATAAAAGATTTATTTCTGTATGGTAACAAATTAACCACACTACCAAGCAGTATCAGTCATTTGACAAATCTAAAACGACTGCTATTGCAACAAAACTGGTTGACAGCATCTGGTATACCAAATGAAATAACGAAACTGACTAATCTGGAACAATTAGATCTCCGTTACAATCGTTTGGATGGTCCTCTTCCTACTTGTATATGTGGTTTGTATAACTTGGAACATTTACTTCTCACATACAACAAATTAACCCATATTGTAGACGAAATAAAATATTTAAAAGTAAGTTATTCGTTTCACTTACTTGTTTTTATCGAGTTTAGCCTAACAATTAGTTTGAAAACTAATATGGTTTACCCTGTGGGATTAATATATGAATCCAGACCCCATATTTTATCGGTTTCGGAATTTTGCTATTAAGCGATATAGGCAAATTTACACGTAAGGTTAGGTGTCTAAATATTCTGAGCCAAAGCGATGTCTGCCATATACAGGTTATATTATTATTTTTTTGTATTAAATATGTACATGTTGACGATTTATCCACTGCCCAAATATAAAACATTCGCAAATCTCACCCATTGGTATATATATAACTACTATATGTTCTTTAGTTTCTATTACATACCGCGTGGGAATTTTAAAACTACAAAATCCAAGCTCCGTGTCGTCAGTTTTATCATTTTTTGCTAATGTGTTCGTTTATTAGTTAGTTTCGCAGTATCTTTTCGCTCATTTAACTATCGTGTAACATTCATAATTTTACTATTAGTTTAATAAAGAAGGGCAGTACTGTTGATATTTGCTATCAACCAACACACACTCATTTTGAAGTTGGTACGTACCGTTAACTTTTATTTTATTGGGTTGGCTCAAACCTTAGTACATAAATCTGCATAGGACTTCTGGGTCTGGCGGTAAGATCCGTTACAAAATAAGCCAGAGTTTTAACGTTTTCGGTAGGTTGCCTTATAAACAACACTAAAAAGTTGTCATTTTCCGATATTTTTTTTGTTTCAGCGCTTATCTGTATTGGTTGTAAGCCGTAATTTGATTCGACAAGATTTGCCTAGTTCCATCGGTGAACTAACGAAATTGGTAAAATTGGATTTATCCTTTAATCATATCACCTTCTTACCTGACAGTAAGCAATATGTTTTGCTATAATGTTTTATTTATTCACTGACCAAACGTTTGACCTAAATACTCTGTCTATAGTGAGGTTTCGTTCTCTAAGCTGTATGGTTTGATTGTGGTACTTTCATTTTTCTGCTGAACTACGTCATCAACACAAAATTCGAGTAGTGTGCCATTCGAATTTATTCATATGTTATTAAGTTTATCCTGTTGACCTCGATCTTAGTTGGTTACTTTTAACTTTTATCCTGTCATTATATGTGCATTTATTTTGACTGTGTCACCCTATGGCTTGATTCTTGATCCTATATATTTACATGACTTTATACTTGCTTGATAAATGATTGATAAATTGGATCGATGTATTAATTGATTGCTGGCTAACCTGAGTCCCAAAATCCTAAATGTTCTTTGGTTTTCAACAAAATACTATCCAAAATGGAGAATGAGTCGGACAACAAGCCATCGTTCTTGGATTCGTTAATCGTTGGGACCGACAGGAAAACCGAAGACTCGGGTGTATCGAAAGCCCACTTACACAGATCAAACTGTCAATTAAAGTGTCAATAACCCTAGATTTAATGAAACCAACTACGTACGATCTCTAATCAAAAGAGCGAAAATACATGGCAGCCTACTTACAGCACGGAAAAATACCTAATGAGTGTTTTCAATCAAAAGTCAACAAAAACATGACAAAAACCCAATTTACCAAGCAAGTGTAAAGTCATGTAAATATATACGATCAGTCAGTCAGCTGCAACGTAGGACCAGGCACATCTATGCATCGGTCCAAGTTGCTATACCGCATTAGCACAACAAGATGAACACTGGATTCATAGAAGTAGTTAATTCAGTGGTGGTAATATATAGAAGAAAGAGTGTGTATAAGGAGATAGTACAGGAAGATAGAATTAGTTCCTAGAAAGAAAGATTTGAAGTGATTTTAATCTCTTAGTTTAAAGGAAGACAGAGAGTGTATACACCGACGCCATTGTGATCGATTCTGAGCAATGTCACCAAGAGTCTCCAACCATTGGTTACGATAGTCACGCGGACCCCAACCAGGTAGTCTGCATCTACCAACATGGCTCAGACCAGAAGTTAGTGACTTCAAGCACTGATGCCACGTTTTGGTTTGGTCGCCCCTAACTTTCTTCCAGTCATCCCTAACACCGGTTACCATTGCGCGTCGTGGTAATCGGTGTTCAGGCATACGCAGCACGTGGCCCAACCATCTCAGTCGATGAAGGTTCATAACCTCATCAACTGATTTACCATCATTTCCTAATACCCTGCGTCTAACCTCACTATTACTTACCCGGTGATCCCAGCAGATGCGAGCGATATTTTTAGGACATCTGTTGTCAAATACTAGTAACTTACGAATATCTTCTACTCTTAAAGGCCAAGTTTCGCAGCCGTATAGTAGAACGGAACGAACTGCCGCGCAGTATACTCGTCCCTTAATTGATAGACGAATATCTCGCCTTCGCCATAGATGACGTAAGTTGGCAAAGGCCAAGCAAGCTTTTCGAATCCGTGCTGAGATTTCGTCAGACACCAACCCATTAGGGCTGATCAGACTTCCAAGATAAGTGAAGTTGTCGACGCGTTCGACTAGTTCACTCCCTATCCTTAGTTCAGGTGTTGACGCAGACCAGTCCTGAGGCAACAACTTGCATTTAGAGGGAGAGAAGCGCATCCCAAACATTCTGGCATTGTTGCTCAGTGCTACCAAAAGACTCTGCATTTCATCAGCGTCCTCACCAAACAGGACTATGTCATCTGCGTATTCTAAGTCAATAAGTGGACCTCCTGGTAGGAGATCAATACCTGAGAATTCAGTCGATGAGAGCGTTATTTCCATCAGTAGATCTATGATGAAGTTGAACAAAAATGGAGAAAGTGGACAGCCTTGGCGGACGCCACTTGAGGTTGCGAAAGCAGATGACAGTTCGCCATAAGCTCTGACTCGACTAGTAGTGTTCGAGTAAAGAGCCTTCACAAGGTTTATGTACTTCTGAGGTACGCCTTTTAATGACAGACACTGCCACAGAACCTCTCGGTCAACAGAGTCAAACGCTGCTTTTAAATCAATGAAGACCACTATTGTCGGACGCCGATAAGTATGCCTGTGTTCTAGAACCTGACGAATGGTGAATATGTGGTCGATGCATCCACGACCAGGTCTGAAGCCAGCCTGATTTTCACGTGTTTGCAGCTCACGAGTCTTAGTTAGGCGTCCGATAATTATCGAGGCTAGTATTTTAGATACTATATTAGTTAAACTAATCCCTCTGTGGTTGTCACAGGATGATTTTGACCCTTTCTTAAATATTGGGACGATAAGTGATTGTGACCAGTTAGATGGGATAACGTCTAACTCCCAGATTTTAGCTAAAATATTAGTCAACCTAATCGCTAAAACTAGACCACCATCCTGAAAGACCTCTGGGGCCAATACGTCTGGATCAGCTGCCCTTCCTCGTTTCAGATTAGCTATAGCCTTTTGAACTTCAGCTAGAGTTGGGGGACCTACTTCAATGTTCCATTCACATTGTCTGGGAATAGAGGGTAGTTATAGAGTAGCTGAAGGCCAACTGAATCGCTCCTTAAAATGTTCCGCCCATCGTTCTAAACGTCTAGACTGGGAGCAGATGAGAGTGTCGTCTTTTTCCGAAATAGTCTAACAGCACTCAAGACCACTGTATAGGATCAAGAATCAAGCCATAGGGTGACACAGTCAAAATAAATGCACATATAATGACAGGATAAAAGTTAAAAGTAACCAACTAAGATCGAGGTCAACAGGATAAACTTAATAACATATGAATAAATTCGAATGGCACACTACTCGAATTTTGTGTTGATGACATAGTTCAGCAGAAAAATGAAAGTATCACGAATAAATCATACAGTTGATAGAATCCGACTCTAAAATCATCAGTACAGTGGCTACTTGTTATCTCGTGAATACTTTTGATTTACAGACTTTTTTCTACACATAAAATGATTTTTGATAATTTCTCTACTAGTCATAATAATATTAATGAGAAGTTGTAAATCAATTGACTAACGTTTCTACATTCTGAGATTTTCGCCAAGTTTTCTCAACCACGTAGTGTTAAAAGAACTAAACCTTCGTGTTAATTCATGTCACAAAACAAGTAATTGATCTTCCAACTAAATCTGAAATAAAGTTAAGGAGGTCAAATCAAAACATGTCGTCAGTCCATAAAGTCACTGACAATTAGACTTAGCCATGTTAATAGGTGAAGACTACCTGGTTGGGGTCTGCGTGACTATCGAAATAAGCGGTTAGAGACTTTGAATGATATGGCTCAGAATCGTTTGCAGTGGTGCATTCTTTGTCTTCCTCTAAATTCTACGATTCTGAATTCTTCATATGTTTTTGTGCTTTTATCTCACTATTTTATATTTTCTTGAATCGTATCTTCGATGTCTGGTCTTTTCACTCAACATTCATACTGTCACGACCTCTACTATTCTGGGATTTAGATCGATGGTTTGGTCTCTTTGTGCTAAAGGAGTACGGTTACTTGAACTGATATACATACGTACCAGGCTCCATGTTGTGACTGACTGACTAACTTCCAACTAAATACACCGAAAGTGCGTCTAAATTGCATATTTATTAAGTTAGAGTCCACCTTCCATTCACATCTAAAACGTTTGATATCCTTTTATAATTACAGACTTAGAAAATTCGTTGTGAATGCATAATAAAACTGTTTGCCTAAGTTAATTCGAATGCTGTTAGTTGGTCATAACCTATATGAAAATATTTTAAGAAATTTGGTTGATATATCAACCTGATCCGATATCGAGTTTTCCAAAATCACGTGGCATGCTTACGTTGTATGATGAGTCACCCCAAGTGTGGATGTGAAAATGAAAAAAGTATCAGACAAACCAATTATTCACCGATATAAAGGTCAACGCCCACTCTAATAGGATGTGGATAGTTTTATCCACTTATGGGTTATGTAGAAATAAGGTTTTCTACGCAGTTTACTCAGTTCGTTTTAGATTTACTAAACATGTACATTAGGAGCTGATTCAAGGGCTTATAGCGAATACTGACTCAAAAATACACAACATGAGTGTCATAAATGGTTTGTTTAAGCTTTCTACTAAAGAGGAGGCTGCATTAGTTTAAACAAAAACCAGTCACATTAGCCATTAATTTTATACCAATTAATACTTGTGTTATATTATACTTTCTTGTCAACTTTGTTAACACAGTTCGGTAATTTTTATCGTTACAAGGTAAATCAAGATTATAAGCTCCTTGTCATCCTAAGCAATTCTCTTGTGAAAATACTAATAACCCAAAATCTATATCTTGCACATTCACTCATTAACCATAATATTATGTCTAATCAACTCGTTCAGGTTTATATAGAGAAAACTCTTAGTATATAATAAATTTCATACACAATACGTAACTAGTAGTCTGGAGGTTGCAGCGAAAACTAATGTACTTGCAATGTTTTTTATTCACTTTCTGAAATGAGTTATATCAATATATTTAAGGTGAAGTAGGTCTTGGCTATCATCTGTTTTCATTTTTATCTATATTTCAAATTTAAGTACAAATTCATGTTCGCGTGCGTTAGGTTCTGTGATCTGCACTTATTTGGATGGAAGCTAATGCCTGACTACTTGGCTGGGTTGTTTGATTGCATTGGATTCAAGCTGCAGTATACTTACTTACCATTAATTCATATCATTATATACTGTGTGGAATAATGAATTGAATATAATCTAAACCTACAATTACCACATAAAAACGTAGAGTGGGGGGAGTAGCTTTAGTACTATGGTGTTTAATAGTTATGGGCGATTATTGTTGAATATGTTGTTCATAGAACTTGGCTTAGAAATCCAGAAAAGCTGAAATTTGAATCAAGAAAAAAACAACCGTCGTGATAGAATAATATGACTTCATCCATTTTGTGAATTCTCTTAATCTGTACAACCTTGAAATAATAGTATTAATTTTTCGAAAGCATATACATTTGTGGAAATTACTAAAACGGTTATGAATATAGAAGAATTATAACAGTTTCCGAACATATTATCTATATGTTTACTGATGTACGAATTCGAGAACAAAATCTTGAAACACATAGATACAAGTTTCTAAAAAACAAAACTACTGACAAAGTTACGTAGTAATAATGGTTAAAAGGAATAGGTTGAAAGCGTAAAAGGAATAAAGCCCAGAAAGGATGCAAGAATGAAGAAGAGTTTATCATTGAGAGAATAAGTTATTACCCAAAAAGATATTCGAAATATAATGCACTACTATTTTTGCTTGCAAGGAGCTGAAGATCGTCCGCGAAATAAATGAATTCACACTACTTCTTTGAGATCGTTTTTGGTTAATTCAAATTTATGTGTGTAAGGATTATAAAAAATCTGTCTCACGTTATCGCGTCTCTAACTAAATTCATTATGATTTTTTTATAAGCACCTAAATGTATTGAAACTTATTGTATTTCACTTTTTACTTTTATCTATAGTTATGTAATCACCAATTTTTAACGGTGTTTTTATATTTTAATAATTACTCAGGTATCGGAAAGTGTACATCTTTACGCGATCTAAATCTTCAACATAATCAACTGACAAAACTACCTGACAGCATAGGAAATCTGGTAAACTTATGTAGATTATCTATCAAGTGAGTGTTGTACACGAATTCTCCTTTCATTTTGTTATTCACTTAGCTTTCAGTCATTATATTTACTTGTTTAATAATGGATAACATATTGCTTAATACCAAGGTGGTATTAAAAAATAAACCTTAAAGTGAGTAAGAGTTTAGGAAAGAAGAAAGACGAGTAAACTTAAGAGAAATTAAGAGTATTAAAGAAAATAATTGAGTTAAGAGAATAAAGAGGATTCATTTTACTTTTTCTGAAAAAGCCTTGATGGTTACCAAAAATGTAGCAACAGTACATAAGTTTTTCTGTTGGTCCCTCTTATGAGCCATGTATATTAAGTCACTAGGATAAATTATCTATAGAGCCCAGTCTTGGGAGTCTTAATGTTAGGGAGACCCAATTACTTTTCATTTTGTAAAAACTTGTTATGTTTTTTCATTCAGTTTAATCACCGGAAATTGGTTCTTAGTATGGAATTTTCTGGGATTTCGTGTATAATATATATCGAAAGTTCTGAGACCTATGTTTACAAATGACTTCACTGATCAAAACTCTATCTTACTTACACGATGCTCTCATTAGATTCAGTCAATGATTCGGGGATGACAGTGATTGAATATAGGGAGTCGCCGAGCATTATTAGCTTACTGTGTCCATAGTTATATATTTTACTCAGAAAAGGCTTGCGAGAGCTACCCAGGATTTATTTGTAAGCATTACAAATTGTTTATCAGTTACTGATGTTCGTATATTTACTGGGGAACAACTCTCGTTGCTCACCTCAACGTAATTACCACTATATGTACTTTATATGTAAGAGGTCTTGCTCTCACCAAATAGGTTTTCTTTTAGTCTCTATGTGAGTGTCCCAGACACTTGATATCGGGTTTGTGAATATTTCCTTCCAACTTTAAGCAAAATTGTATCTCAGTATCGTCGCCTAAAGATTTAATGTAAATTACAGATTGCATTTGTTGCAACGAAAGCAGATGTTTGACTACTTATATCTATGGAAGGATTAGATAAGTAGCAGTACAAATTATCGAGATCTTCTTACGTAAAGTGTACAATATGATAACACGGAGTAATACTCATTGGCAGGTTTGAAGTATTTGTTGCATTTAGTCAACGACTTGACAGTGGATGATTGTCGTACCATAACACGGATTTATTAAGGTTGGAAATATGAACCATTGGTCTCATGTCTTAGTACTCGGGATATTTTACCATACAATAGTAGAGCGTCTAACCACTGGTTATGATAGTCGCGTGGACGCCAACCAAGTAGTCTGCATCTACTAACATGCCACATACCAGAAGTTAGTGATATTATGTACTGGTTCCACATTTTGGTTTGACCGTCTCTAACTTTCTTCTATCCGTCTCCAACACTAATCAGCATTGCACGCCGCAGTAGTCTACGGTTGGTCATGCGTAATACGTGGCCTAACCATCTCAGTCGATGAAGATTCAACACCTCATCAATTGATTTAACATCATTCCCTAATACCCTGCGTCTAACCTTAATATTACCTACCCAGTGATCCGAACAGATGCGAGCAACATTTCTAAGACATCTGTGATCAAATACTAGTAACTTTTGGGTATCTTCTACCCTGAATGGCCATGTTTCGCATCCGTAAAATAAAACAATGAACCGCTACTCAATATACTTATCCTTTAATTGACAGACGGATATCTCGTCTACGTCATAGATGACGTAAGTTGGCAAATATCAAACGAGCTTTTTGAATCCATGCTGAGATTTCGTCAGAAACCAACCCAGTAAAGCTGATCAGACTTTCAAGATAAGCAAAGCTGTCAATATGTTCGACTACTTCACTCCCTATCTATAGTTCAGGTGTTGACGCAGGCCAGTCCTGAAGCAACAATTTGCTTTAAGAGGGGAGAAACGCATCCCAAAAATCCTGACATTGTTGCTTAGTCCTAGCGAAAGGCTGCATTTTATCAGCGTCTTCACCAAACACGATTGTCATCTGCGTATTCTAAGTCAATAAATGGACCAGCTGGTATGAGATCAATTCCCGAAAATTCACACGACAAGAATGTTTATTTCATCAGTAGGTCTATGTTGAAATTAAGCAAAAACGGAACACAGCAATTAACAACAGCCGAACAAGAACAGAGAAAGCTAAGACACAAGCTGAATACGTAGAAGCAAACAAGCAAGTGAAGAATAACATTAGAGCCGACAAGCAGAAATACGTGGAAAAGCTGGCAACGACAGCGGAAAAAGTTGCAAGGGAAGGAAATATGAAACAACTATATGACACGACGAAGAATCTGACAGGAAAATATAATAAACCAGAGAGATCGGTCAAGAACAAAGAAGGTGAGCCAGTCACTGGAATTCAAGAACAGAGGAATAGATGGGTGGAATGCATCGAGGGTATCGAAGCTGCACCTACAGGTATCCCTATAGATGTTTCTCCACCAACAACTAAAGAAATTATGACAATCAGACAAATCAAAAGTTGGAAAGCAGCAGGATCTGACAATATACCAGCCGAAGCACTGGCGTCAGACCTAGAAGTAACTGCAAAGATGCTCCTAGTTCTATTTAGGAAGATTTGGTGGGTGAGACAAATGCCGACGAACGGGAAAGAAGGATACCTCATCAAGATACCAAAGAAAGGAGATCTGAGCGAATGTGAGAACTGCAGATGCATCACACTGCTGATGGTTGACTGGATTATGAAAACCGTGACATCTGAGGGGAAGCACGGGATAAAATGTACAGGTTGTATGCAAATAGACGATTTGAACTTCGCAGATGACCTAGCTCTTCTATGCCATACACACGAACAGATACAGATGAAGACAACTAGTGTATCAGTAGCGTCTGCATCAGTAGGCCTCAACACACACGAGGAAAAAAGCAAGATCCTAAAGCACAACACGGAGAACACCAACTTTGTGAGATGTGGAATGTTCCACATATCTGGGTAGCATCATCGATGAAGGTTAAGAATACGATGCAGGCGTAAATGTAAGGATTAGTAAAGCGAAGATAACATTCCTGAAGTTGAAGAACAAACCAGCTTCCAGTTGAAGAGGATATTTGGAAAAGGCGTTGAAAGTGGATAGTACACACATTGAGAAAATCGCCAGACTACATCTGGAGGCAGGCGCTAACTTGAAATCCTGAAGGAAAGCGGAAAAGAGGAAGACCAAATAACATACTGCGTCGAAAATCAGAAGCAGACATGAAAAGGATGAGTAGCATTAGAACTGGAATAGATCGCTCAGAACAGAGTTGAATGGAGAATGTTGTTGAATGGCCTATGCTCCTCAAGGAGGGATAACATGCGTAAGGAAAGTACTATATATATATATATATATATATATATATATATATATATATATATATATATATATATATATATATATATATATATATACAACAGATGGGTTTTTTCTTTTCTCTTAAAGGTATAATCAATTGGTGGAAATTCCGTCAAGTCTAGCTAACTGTGTGAAACTTGACGAATTTAATGTGGAAAATAATCAATTGTCTTCACTTCCCGTAAGTAAATGACATTTATTTTACTGTTTATATTTAAGAGTGTAATATACATCGCATCGTTATGTATGGTTTTCGCAAGTCATTTCATAAATACTATTCTCTGTTTCTGATATGTAATTTGTTCATGTTCTATTTGAAGCTTTTCATATTATCCCCGTTTATGTATTTTAAGATGATTATAATAATAACTGTTTGCTGTTAAAATTAGACTCCTATTTACGAATTTATACGATATTGTTTTATTTATCTCTCCAACAGAATAATTTGCTATCACGTTTACATAATCTACTAAATATCACCCTGTCAAGAAATTATTTTACAAACTTCCCCTCTGGTGATCCACAACAATTCCAGATGTGTTATGTAAGTTATATTTTATTATCACTACTGCTATTATTAGTAGTCCAAATGATGTGTGCTCTTACTCACTGATTTACTTACTACTGTACACCTGATGGAACATAGGCCATTGACTATGATTATCCAACCAACTCTGTCTTGGGCTTTCTAGTCGTCCGTAAGCTCTATTCATCCTTTTGATATTTCCCTCCAATTACCGGTGCAATGTGTTCCTTCGTCTGCCTCCCTGAGGATTCCAAGTTAGGGCTTGTCTGCTGATACAGTTTGGTGAATTCCGTAATGTGTGCTCTATCCACCTCCAACGTCTTTTCCTATTTTCTCCAGCTGGATGCTGGTTTGTTCTTTGCCACAATTGCTGATAGTGTGCGACTAACAAATCTGGAGTATTTTACGGGGACAACAGTTTATAAATACCTGTTTCTTTTTGATGATGGTTGTATTAGTGTACTGCCAAAACTAGCTAATTAGAAGAACTTTAGTATCCAAATGATTCACTGAAGATACGCTAATTTATCTTTTTTTATTTCAACGTTTTTCCCACTTTTTAGTTCTTTTTTCTATATGTTTAGTAGTGTTTAATTTTTTTCGTATAATCGTTGGCCTAAACAGGTATATAGAATCAACAGGATATTCGACTATTTATCATTTAGATGATGGTTTTCATCAATGAACTCAGTGTTAAAAACATGATTAGGTCAAATGTATGTTTTGAGTCCTGAAATATAATCCGTGATTCTATCTGTTGCACACAAGTTTTTACATCTTCAAATGGTCCTCTTTATTATTAAACTTTCTAAAAATATTTTATTAATCACAGTACTATCAATAAGATTATTGCAGTTTATATGTTAGAAAAGTATTCGTACACATTGTAATTGTATTTGTATCCTCTTTGGAAGTCGGTTAAGGAATTACACTAAGGTGAATATTTTTCACATTTCGTATCGTATTATTAATGTTTATATTGATAATTAACCCGTTAAAATGCATAATATTTAAATTATGCGACTAGCCGTGAAACTATTTGAAAATATGCCACAGTGTTTATGCATTTTTTAGGACTAACAGTTCAAAGATTTTCTGTTTAATTTATTACAACTCCATCCATTGCACTCTTTCAATGAGTTATTGAATGCATAATTTTTGTATTGTTTAACAATGATAGCTTAGTATTTATTGATGAATTAAGTGTACTGATTTTGTTTAAAACCTTTTATAGCAATTGCGATTAGTAATAATTAATCGTTGTACAATCAGGTTTTTGAGGAAATACTTGTTTTCAGTAGTTTATTAATAGGTTTTAAAAGTAGAATTAAAAATATTTATTCAGAATTATTTAGCCTTTGTAATTAGTAGAACTTAGAAAACTGGTATTATGGATTGTAATTTTAAAGTTTGATAAATACAAGCTACCAAGGATATGTATTTATTTAAAATTTGTTTTTCTAATTATCACAATCAGTCAGTCATGCAGAATAAGAGCCATGCTACTTTTAAGCCATCTATGATCGCAATAACAACGAAATATTATATATGTGTGACCTTGGAACTATCTGTTATTAAGGAACTTTCAGGTTGTCATTTAGTTGGTGGTGATAAGCAACGTGAAACCTGGTACAAATATGCATCAGTCCAATTTACTACATCACTGCTACAGAGAGATGAAATTATAAACACGAAAGTAGTAGTAAAATCAGTGGTAGATAAAATACGTAATGTGAGTTTGAGTTTGGTAATTTCAACTGACAAGCGTTCGGGTAATTCTTATATGCTAACTGGATGAACCGCATTATTAATACAATGTTATTTCTTCGCACGATGGAATAGAGGGAAGAAAAAATTTTTAAGGAATATTTATTGGTGAAGACCTTGAAATAATCGATTTACACTCAAGTTTATTCAATTATATATCGATCCTTCAGTGATTATTAATTACTAAATCTGTCAGACTGATCAATTGTCACTTGAGCACAAAATCAAAATGAGTTTTTCAATGCAATAAAAACGTCGAATAACTAATTTTGTATTGAATGAATTAATAGAACTGAAAATTCATTCATTTTTTATTGTTTGTTTAAATCTTCCCATTGACGTTCAGGACTGCAATTGATCAGTCTCTTATTGGTTTATCCTGTGCAAATTGCCTCGATATTGCCTTGAGTCACAAGCATTAGAAGCAAAGGTGGACGGTATCTAGCAATGGAATCCAGGACGTTTATTTCGTCCTATTTGGGATTCGTCAGCTGGATGTATCTTCATTCCAGAGTTGATGTTCACTCAACCATCCATCTTTGTTTCCGTTGTTGCTACCTTGACGTGGTGGTCGGGCTTGCCTATCGTGATGAAGCAACTAAGCTATACTGGCTGGAACAACCGTTCCTCAAGGTCCTACCATTCCAGACAGGTCGGTTGAAGAGCGGTATGACTGAAAGCAACAAAACCAAGATCCGAAGGCGTAGTCGTACTGCTGACTGTACAGAGGTGTGACAGCAGTAAGATGTTTCCTTCAGACAACCAGCTTAACAGCGATGCTGCCTTCCCACAAGGAGGGGTGGGGTTAGAAAAGGTCGACCCTAAAAATGCACACCTCGCCTTATCCCACGGATATCCGTCTCCGGCGGTAAGGTCTCAACAAGTACGGAGCTAACACAAAAATCACTCATAAAAAGGTCGTGTGTGACCGACCTCAAGCAGCTGTCCCTTGGGCACTGCGGTCACGCCCTCAGGTCACTATGACCACCTCTAATCCAATTTCCTTTTCAGGTACCTCCAGCAGAACCCTTCCACGGTGTGGGCAACCGGGAAGTGATAACCGCCCTCATACCTCTAACAGCACTCAAGACCACTGTATTCATAATCAACCTACCTCTTCAATTCCTATTATTCCTCTTACATCGACTTTCGAATCTAAACTCCCTCTTTCGGCTTCCTCCTCAAGTGTCACTATGGCCAACGATTCTAGTGCGCAAAACACTTTCCCAGGTCTACTGAAACCTCGCTCCAAACTATACATTGGAGCCTTCAACGTACGCACACTATGTCAAACCGGCCAGCAGGCTTCCTTGGCTAAAACCTTAGAATCTCGTACCGTTGATGTATGCTGTGTCTCCGAAACACGCATACAGGATCCTAGCGTAGTCATTCACTTGACCTCACCTCGGCAAAACGGAGTGCCGACGAGATACACCCTCCGTGTATCTGGCGACCCGATGGCTAGTTCTCGTGGACTTGCAGTATCACAGCCCTCACACAAATTAAATGAGATTTGTGTGGCACATGTATATTTGGTGCCCTCTTGTACCAATATTTGTGTTCAAATAAATAAATAAATAAATGCAGGTGTAGGCATAGCACTAAGCATGAGGGCGGAACAAGCGCTATTAGAGTGGATCCCCGTTAATAGTCGTCTATGCGCTGTTCGGCTAAACGGCTCCGTAAGAACTCGAAAGGATAGGGATACACGTCGTTTCTGCCTACGCTCCCACTGACTGCAGTTCGGATGAAGTGAAAGATGAATTTTACAGAAAGCTGTCTGAACTTCTTCAGAAAGCTAAACGTTCAGATATAGTACTCATAGCAGGCGACTTTAATGCCCAGGTAGGTAGCTTAAACAAAACAGAAAGACATTTACGTGGGTATTTTAGTATTCCGGCACAGCGAACAGATGATGGTGATCGTCTGCTGCAACTTTGCTCAGACAATCGTTTTTTTTAGAAAACACAAATTTTAAGCATAAGGAGAGACATCGTCTAACATGGCGACCCCCTGCACCAAACCAACGGTGGACTCAAATAGACCATATTGCCATCAGTCATCGTTGGAGAGGGTCGATAGAAGATTGTCGCTCATTCTGGAGTACCTGCTTGGACTCCGACCATGCCCTAGTACGAGCACGCATCTGCTTGCGCCTCACTGGACGCAAAACAGCCACACAAAAAAGACTCATTAGAACCGAATTGAGTAATGAGAAAACCAAAAATAGGTTTCAGGAACAACTGAGGTCACACTTAGGTAGTTCTGAAAACGAGGCTGACCCAGATGTTGATTGGAAAGACATACAAGCAGCTGTGGAAACATCAGTGACATCTACTAATGATTTAAACCACAGGGTTACAAAGAACCAATGGATTTCTTCAAGGTCTATTGCACTGATAGATTCTTGTAAACTCATCCCATCAGGTTCTGAACACGATGAAGAGCGTAAAAAAATCAGATCTAGGTTAAGCGAAAGTCTAAGGAATGATCGTGAGCAGTGGTGGGAAACGAAAGTAAAAGAGATGGAAAAGGCGGCGGCTATAGGGAACACAAGACAACTCTACAGACTAATAAAAGAAACTGGAATTAACAAATCAAGTGTAAGTCAGACTATTTCGGAAAAAGACGACACTCTTATCTGCTCCCAGTCCAGACGTTTAGAACGATGGGCGGAACATTTTAAGGAGCAATTCAGTTGGCCTTCAGCTACTCTATAACTACCCTCTATTCCCAGACAATGTGAATGGAACATTGAAGTAGGTCCTCCAACTCTAGCTGAAGTTCAAAAGGCTATAGTTAATCTAGAACGAGGAAGGGCAGCTGATCCAGACGTATTGGCCCCAGAGGTCTTTCAGGATGGTGGTCTAGTTTTAGCGATTAGGTTGACTAATATTTTAGCTAAAATCTGGGAGTTAGACGTTATCCCATCTAACTGGTCACAATCACTTATCGTCCCAATATTTAAGAAAGGGTCAAAATCATCCTGTGACAACCACAGAGGGATTAGTTTAACTAATATAGTATCTAAAATACTAGCCTCGATAATTATCGGACGCCTAACTAAGACTCGTGAGCTGCAAACACGTGAAAATCAGGCTGGCTTCAGACCTGGTCGTGGATGCATCGACCACATATTCACCATTCGTCAGGTTCTAGAACACAGGCATACTTATCGGCGTCCGACAATAGTGGTCTTCATTGATTTAAAAGCAGCGTTTGACTCTGTTGACCGAGAGGTTCTATGGCAGTGTCTGTCATTGAAAGGCGTACCTCAGAAGTACATAAACCTTGTGAAGGCTCTTTACTCGAACACTACTAGTCGAGTCAAAGCTTATGGCGAACTGTCATCTGCTTTCGCAACCTCAAGTGGCGTCCGCCAAGGCTGTCCACTTTCTCCATTTTTGTTCAACTTCATCATAGATCTACTGATGGGAATAACGCTCTCATCGACTGAATTCTCAGGTATTGATCTCCTACCAGGAGGTCCACTTATTGACTTAGAATACGCAGATGACATAGTCCTGTTTGGTGAGGACGCTGATGAAATGCAGAGTCTTTTGGTAGCACTGAGCAACAATGCCAGAATGTTTGGGATGCGCTTCTCTCCCTCTAAATGCAAGTTGTTGCCTCAGGACTGGTCTGCGTCAACACCTGAACTAAGGATAGGGAGTGAACTAGTCGAACGCGTCGACAACTTCACTTATCTTGGAAGTCTGATCAGCCCTAATGGGTTGGTGTCTGACGAAATCTCAGCACGGATTCGAAAAGCTTGCTTGGCCTTTGCCAACTTACGTCATCTATGGCGAAGGCGAGATATTCGTCTATCAATTAAGGGACGAGTATACTGCGCGGCAGTTCGTTCCGTTCTACTATACGGCTGCGAAACTTGGCCTTTAAGAGTAGAAGATATTCGTAAGTTACTAGTATTTGACCACAGGTGCCTTAGAAATATTACTGGTATCTGCTGGGATCACCGGGTAAGTAATAGTGAGGTTAGACGCAGGGTATTAGGGAATGATGGTAAATCAGTTGATGAGGTTATGAACCTTCATCGACTGAGATGGTTGGGCCACGTGCTGCGTATGCCTGAACACCGATTACCACGACGCGCAATGGTAACCGATGTTAGGGATGACTGGAAGAAAGTTAGGGGCGGCCAAACCAAAACGTGGCATCAGTGCTTGAAGTCACTAACTTCTGGTCTGAGCCATGTTGGTAGATGCGGACTACCTAGTTGGGGTCCGCGTGACTATCGTAACCAATGGTTGGAGACTCATTGTGACATGGCTCAGAATCGATCACAATGGCGTCGGTGTATACACTCTCTGTCTTCCTTTAAACTAAGAGATTAAAATCACTTCAAATCTTTCTTTCTAGGAACTAATTCTATCTTCCTGTACTATCTCCTTATACACACTCTTTCTTCTATATATTACCACCACTGAATTAACTACTCCTATGAATCCGGTGTTCATCTTGTTGTGCTAATGCGGTATGGCAACTTGGTCCGATGCATATACGTGCCTGTTCCTACGTTGCAGCTGACTGACTGATTGACTGACTGTTTCCAATGCTTGTGATTCAAGGCAATCCGGAAAGGATGCATGTATGCCAATAAGAGACTAATCAACTGAAATCCTAAACATCAATAAGAAGACTCAAAGAAACAATACAAAATGAATTTACTTTTCATCCCATCGCACAAGCTAATGGCTTTAAGAACTCAGTAAATAAGTGGGTAACGCGATGGCGTTTGAAGCGACTGGTAATGGATTTGAGTCCCGGAGTGGACATCAACTCTGGGATGCAGGTTTGTCCAGCTGACGAGTCTCAAATGGGATGAAACGCACGTCCTGGATTCCACTGCTAGCCACCATCTATCTGTGCTGAAAATTTATTGCCAGTCAAACAAAAATCAGTCAAGGTGAATCATTACTGAAAGTTGCCGAACAAATATTACTGTGAATTTTAAAACTGTATTCTTCCGAATGTTGTATTTGGGGGTTCAATGTCCCCAATAAAAGGTTAAAAACAGAAAATGTACTTCAAGAAGAATGGACGAACTTCCAAACTAAAAATATGAGATATTGAAATTCGGGGTCGAGGGATAAATTTAGAAAAGATCCGTGCCACTGTTATTGATCTTTAGTCTGCAACAATTAGTCAAATTATCGTTTGGACACCAACCAGATAGTCTGGTAAAATGGCTCAGACCAACAGCTAGTGACTAAGAATCAATAGCCGTTCTTGATTTGGCCGCTCCTAGATTTTTTACGACTTACTCCTATATCAAATAAGATTATACGTCATGGCAGATGGTGTCTGAGTTTAAGTTATGCATGTCCTACTCATTCTTCAATCTACAAACCATCACCTATTACTGTATGTTTAATCTCAACATCACTCGGTTGTTCTACAATAAATGAATCAAACTCTAAATCACCGCCAATTTCGAACATCGATACTAGATAACAACAATCAATATAACTCGTCAGTTTTTGAGATATCGTAACCCCACCAAGTAATGTACTATCTTTATCAGTAACTCTGTTCAGCGCAACAATTAGCTACTCAGTCAACGATTTTACAGTTTACGAGTAATTTGTTGAATTATGTAAAAAGACAATGTAATTTGATTCAAAAAACATCTCTTGTTTTGTAGAACTATTAACTGAGAAGTTAGTTCATCATCACAACGGGAATTATTGATTTTTTTGTAATGACATCCATCTCACATTTTCGTTTACTCCATCTCCTTCAGCGATTAACTCATTAAATATGTTAAATATGTGCAGTTCATCTTTTACAATATATTTAATAGCTGTTTATTGTCATCACTCTCTAAAATGGCGGAATAATATCTATGTTCCGTGGTGGAGTATACAACAGAATTGTCATGAATAGTCTAAATTATTCAAAGCTATTTAGTCTTCTGACATTCAAAAAAAAATAACTGAATTGTACTCAAAGGAATATAACGTTCTTTACAGTTTAAAAAAAATAGAAATTGATTGTTAACTTTAATGTTGTAAGTTTAATTACATCATTTAAATGATTTCTAATTATGAGTCACAGTTGGATTTAGTAAACTGATATTGAAAACATCCATATTTCTAGTTGGGTGAAGTTTTAACTAATGAATTCTACTTTCTACTATATATCATCATGTTAACATAATGAAAATGTCAATATCTTTAGCAAATTACAAATGACATTGATTATGATTGTGTAGTTGAAAAGTGATACTGATTGTGAAATTGTTTCTCCCAACAACAACAAAAACTTGGATGTCAACAATAAAAGAATGATAAAAATATTGTAAAGTGTATAGTCATTCATGACTAAGTCTACCATAGTCGTATTCTCCAAAATAATTTCTTTACTTTTTGACAAGATTTCGAAAGAATTTATTTCAATCATAGGTCTAGGACTGACTAGCTCGTTTAATACATCATAGTAATTGTTAAAAAACAAGGTTTTGATCTTACCTAAAATCTAGTGTTTAAGTAATAATATCATTTTTTCCCTCTATATGTACGATTTCTGGAAGCTCCAAATGCCCCAGTACGGCCGGGAGTGTGGAGAGTCCGCTCTCCCTCTCGAAATGCTCTCACACGGCCACGCGTATATAGCCTCTGCCAGGGAAGTCCTACTCACTGCCTTCTCGTGGCGGGGTGTTGTTTACGGAATTGAGCGGACGAGAAGCGGATGCTCGGCGCTTTAACCGGATCCCAAACCAATGGTGCACATGGGCTCCAGTATCCTGTGGGAACATATGGCGTATGAACCAATCGTTGGTCACCGGCTACCCTGAGACTGCATCTCCTCACGATGCTCCACTGCCTTGTGGGTTAGACATTTAGGTCAAAGGCTCGGGGTGGGGTTCCCTAAGAAAACCACATACTTCGGTTTGGGCACCCGGGCAGTATCACAGCCCTCACACATATCCAATGAGATCTGTGTGGCGCATATGTTTTTGGTGCCTCCTTGTACCAATATCTGTGTTAAAATAAATAAATAAAATTTATATACATACATATAATATACCAGACGATTTATCAAATTGTTCCACCTTTTTCCTTTTTGTTTAGACTATCAATATGGATCATAATGAAATTACAAACATTCCAAAATCTGTATTTAGTTTGGCTTCAAATTTGATTAAATTAAATTTACGTGATAATGCATTAGACAGTTTAATTGGTCCAGGTTAGTTATATACCGTCCCAGTTTCATTTTAAAGGGTCTAGATAAAATAATAATAATAAATAGTGGTTTTGTAGTAACTGTTTATTTTTCTATAAATTAGTAATAAGACCACCATTGCGTTTGCATTATCGTTTAGTTTTAAGTTAACGTTAATGATTTACTAAAGTATCGAAATTTTTTATAAGTTTCTCAATATATGTACACTGCTGAAGAGTTCAGCGCCAGGACTGAGAGGCTATTCGGTGCCTCGTAGTTTTCATTGGTCATTCAACTACGATCAGTCCTTGATGTGAACCATGAAAACTCAACAATCTCCACAAACCTTTGCTAAATATATATATATATATATATATATATATATATATATATATATACCTCTCGTTGACCAATCAACGAGGCTTCAGAAAAAAGGATGGTAAATTTTTTTACTCCGACTAGTATCTTTAGTTAGTAAAAACTATCAGGCTCATGCAATTTATTGTTATTTACACCTGTCACTTGAAGAAATCTCATTCTGTACTGTCGGTTGGTAAGCAGGATTTGAATCTATCACTGACAATGCAAAAACGTCTAGTTCCCAGGCTCCACTATCGCTGACTTTTTGATACGACCTAGATTACCATAAATCCTCTATGTCGTCACTTCACAACCGATAATTCCATAATGTGATATAAAAATTTGCATAATGTGAAATTTCCTGGATTTGACTGAAAGTTTACAAAGATCACATCTGCTGAATTTTTTTTGTGGATGGATGGATTTATTTAGATCTCCTATTCTTTCTACTCACTATCGGAAAAAAAGAGAATTTCCTTCTTTAGCAGTGACTCAATCACAGCTAATTAAGTGGCAGAATATTCTTCATATCATCCGAAGTTAGTTAATTGAGTGCATAATTACTTACTTACTTACTTACTTACTTACTTACTTACTTACTTACTTACTTACTTACTTACTTACTTACTTACTTACTTACTTACTTACTTACTTACTTACTTACTTACTTACTTACTTACTTACTTACTTACTTACTTACTTACTTACTTACTTACTTACTTACTTACTTACTTACTTACTTACTTACTTACTTACTTACTTACTTACTTACTTACTTACTTACTTACTTACTTACTTACTTACTTACTTACTTACTTACTTACTTACTTACTTACTTACTTACTTACTTACTTACTTACTTACTTACTTACTTACTTACTTACTTACTTACTTACTTACTTACTTACTTACTTACTTACTTACTTACTTACTTACTTACTTACTTACTTACTTACTTACTTACTTACTTACTTACTTACTTACTTACTTACTTACTTACTTACTTACTTACTTACTTACTTACTTACTTACTTACTTACTTACTTACTTACTTACTTACTTACTTACTTACTTACTTACTTACTTACTTACTTACTTACTTACTTACTTACTTACTTACTTACTTACTTACTTACTTACTTACTTACTTACTTACTTACTTACTTACTTACTTACTTACTTTACTTTACTTACTTACGCCTGTTACTCCTCGTGAAGAAGCATAGGCCGCTTACCAGCATTCTCCATCCAACCCTGTCCTGGGCAATCCTTTCCAGCTCTCAGTCAGTCAGCTGCAACGTAGGACCAGGCACGTATATGCATCGGTCCAAGTTGCCATACCGCATTAGCACAACAAGATGAACACCGGATTCATAGGAGTAGTTAATTCAGTGGTGGTAATATATAGAAGAAAGATTGTGTATAAGGAGATAGTAAAGGAAGAAAGAATTAGTTCGTAGACAGATATGAAGCGATTTTAATCTCTTAATTTAAGGAAGACAGAGAGTGTATACACCGACGCCATTGTGATCGATTCTGAGCCATGTGACCAAGAGTCTCCAACCATTGGTTACGATAGTCACGCGGACCCCAACCAGGCAGTCTGAATCTCCCAACATGGCTCAGACCAGAAGTTAGTGACTTCAAGCACTGATGCCACGTTTTGGTTTGGTCGCCCCTAACTTTCTTCCAATTATCCCCTGCACTAGTCAGCATTGCGCGTCGTGGTAATCGGTGTTCAGGCATACGCAGCACGTGGCCCAACCATCTCAGTCGATGAAGGTTCATAACCTCATCAACTGATTTACCATCATTCCCTAATACCCTGCGTCTAACCTCACTATTACTTACCCGGTGATCCCAGCAGATACCCGCAATATTTCTAAGGCACCTGTGGTCAAATACTAGTAACTTACGAATATCTTCTACTCTTAAAGGCCAAGTTTCGTAGCCGTATAGTAGAACGGAACGAACTGCCGCGCAGTATACTCGTCCCTTAATTGATGGACGAATATCTCGCCTTCGCCATAGATGACGTAAGTTGGCAAAGGCCAAGCAAGCTTTTCGAATCCGTGCTGAGATTTCGTCAGACACCAACCCATTAGGGCTGATCAGACTTCCAAGATAAGTGAAGTTGTCGACGCGTTCGACTAGTTCACTCCCTATCCTTAGTTCAGGTGTTGACGCAGACCAGTCCTGAGGCAACAACTTGCATTTAGAGGGAGAGAAGCGCATCCCAAACATTCTGGCATTGTTGCTCAGTGCTACCAAAAGACTCTGCATTTCATCAGCGTCCTCACCAAACAGGACTATGTCATCTGCGTATTCTAAGTCAATAAGTGGACCTCCTGGTAGGAGATCAATACCTGAGAATTCAGTCGATGAGAGCGTTATTTCCATCAGTAGATCTATGATGAAGTTGAACAAAAATGGAGAAAGTGGACAGCCTTGGCGGATGCCACTTGAGGTTGCGAAAGCAGATGACAGTTCGCCATAAGCTCTGACTCGACTAGTAGTGTTCGAGTAAAGAGCCTTCACAAGGTTTATGTACTTCTGAGGTACGCCTTTTAATGACAGACACTGCCACAGAACCTCTCGGTCAACAGAGTCAAACGCTGCTTTTAAATCAATGAAGACCACTATTGTCGGACGCCGATAAGTATGCCTGTGTTCTAGAACCTGACGAATGGTGAATATGTGGTCGATGCATCCACGACCAGGTCTGAAGCCAGCCTGATTTTCACGTGTTTGCAGCTCACGAGTCTTAGTTAGGCGTCCGATAATTATCGAGGCTAGTATTTTAGATACTATATTAGTTAAACTAATCCCTCTGTGGTTGTCACAGGATGATTTTGACCCTTTCTTAAATATTGGGACGATAAGTGATTGTGACCAGTTAGATGGGATAACGTCTAACTCCCAGATTTTAGCTAAAATATTAGTCAACCTAATCGCTAAAACTAGACCACCATCCTGAAAGACCTCTGGGGCCAATACGTCTGGATCAGCTGCCCTTCCTCGTTCTAGATTAACTATAGCCTTTTGAACTTCAGCTAGAGTTGGAGGACCTACTACCTACCATGTGACCGACCTCAAGCAGCTGTCCCTTGGGCACTGCAGTCACGCTCTCAGGTCACTATGACCACCTCTAATCCTATTTCCTTTTCAGGTACCTCCAGCAGAACCCTTCCACGGTGTGGGCAACCGGGAAGTGATAACCGCCCTCATACCTCTAACAGCACTCAAGACCTTTCAAGCTCTGTCCAGTTCTTATTCATCCCTTTCATATCCGCTTCTATTTCCCGACGTAATGTGTTCTTTGGCCTTCCACTTTTCCTCTTCCCTTTAGGATTCCAAGTTAGCGCTTGTCTCGTAATGCAGTTTGATGAATTCCTTAATGTATGTTCTATCCATTTCGATCGTCTTTTCCTAATTTCCGCTTCCGCTTGAAGCTGGTTGGTTCTCTCCCACAAATGGCTGTTGCTGATGGTATCCGACCAATGGATGTTGAGTATCTTGCGTAGACAACTATTGAGAAATACTTGTACCTTCTTGATGATGGTTGTTGTAGTTCTCCACATTTCAGCTTCGTACAGTAGAACTGCCTTGACGTTCGTATTGAAGATTCTGACTTTGATATTGGTTGAAAGTTGTTTTGAGTTCCATATGTTCTTTAATTGAAGGAATGCTATCCTTGCTTTGCCGATCCTCGCCTTTACGTTTGCAACTGAACCTCCTTGTTTGTCGACAATGCTTCCCAGGTATGTGAAGGACTCCAGATCTTTCAGAGTTTCGCCATCAAGAGTGATTGGATTGCTGTTCTCCGTGTTGTATTTGAGGACGTTGGTTTTGCCCTTGTGCACGTTGAGGCCTACTGATGCAGAGATTGCTGCTACGCTGGCTGTCTTTGTCTGCATTTGTTCGTGTGTATGTGATAGGAAGGCTAGGTCATCTGCGAAGTCTAAATCGTGTAAGTGGTTCTGAGCTGTCCATTGTATGCCGTGTTTTCCCTCAGATGTCGAGGTCCTCATAATCCAGTCGACCACCAGAAGAAAGAGGAAGAGAGAGAGTAGACAACCTTGTCTGACTCCGGTCCTTACTTGGAATGCGTCTGTCAGCTGTCCTCCATGCACTACTTTGCACTGTAGTTCGTCGTATGAGTTCCGGATAATATTGACAATCTTCTCAGGAACTCCGTAGTGTCGAAGAAGTTTCCATATCGTTCTCCTATCTACACTGTCGAATGCCTTCTCATAATCAATGAAGCTGATGTACAGTGACGAGTTCCACTCACCTGATTGTTCGACGATGGTCCGTAGTGTCGCAACTTGGTCTGTGCACGACTGGTCCTTACGGAATCCAGCTTGTTGATCTCGAAGTTGAGCGTCTACTGCGTCTTTCATCCTGTTCAGTAACACTCTGTTAAAGACTTTTCCTAGTATTGACAGTAGTGTAATGCCTCTGTAATTTTCACACTTGCTCAGATCTCCTTTCTTTGCAATCTTGATGAGGTGTCCTTCTTTCCAATCCATCGGCACTTGTTCCTCCTCCCAAATCTTCTTGAATAGAAGATGAAGCATGTTTGTAGTTACTTCGATGTCTGACTTCAGTGCTTCAGCTGGTATATTGTCGGGTCCTGCTGCTTTCCCGCTCTTGATTTGTCTGATGGCCATTCTGATTTCTTCTGTCGTTGGTGGATTGACATCTATAGGAAGATCTGTGTGTGCTGCTTCGATGTCCGGTGGATTAATTGGAGCCGGTCTGTTCAGGAGTTCCTCGAAGTACTCTGCTCATCTGTTCTGCTGTTGCTGAATCTCACTAATTGGTCTTCCTTCTTTGTCTTTGACTGGTCTCTCTTCTTTACTATATTTCCCTGCTAGTTTCTTCGTTGTATCGTAAAGCTGTTTCATATTTCCTTCTCTTGCAGCTTTCTCCGCCGTCGTTGCTATTTCTTCCACGTATTTGTGCTTGTCGGCTCTAATGCTCTTCTTCACTTGCTTGTTTGCTTCTATGTACTCAGTTTGTGCTTCGACTTTCTCTGCTCGTGTTCGACTATTGTTAATTGCTGTCTTCTTGTTCTTCCTTTCTTAGATCCTGTCCAGTGTTTCTATAGATATCCATTCCTTGTGATGATGTTTCTTGGGGCCGAGAACCTCTTGACACGTTGAAGTTAATGCTTCTTTGATACCTTTCCAGTTATCCTCCATAGTAGTTTCTTCTTCCTTCAGTAGATCCTGTAGGGCTTGGAACCTGTTGTTGAGGGCTATCTTGAATTTATTGAGTTTGTCAGTATTTCGAAGGAAGGCTGTATTGAACCTTTGCAGAGCTGTTTGTCCAGTTGTCCAGTTCTTCTTTAGCTTCAGTTTTAAGTTGGCCACAACCAGGTGGTGATCTGAAGCTATGTCCGCTCCTCTCCTGGTTCTCATATCTTCAATTGCTCTTCGGAACTTTTTATTGATGCAAATATGATCTATCTGATTCTCTGTGGTGTGGTCCGGTGAGATCCATGTAGCTTTGTGTATACGTTTGTGTGGAAATATTGTGCCGCCTATAACCAATTTGTTTAATGCACACAGATTTACAAATCTTTCCCCGTTTTCGTTCCTCTCTCTCAGTCCATGCAGCCCCATGATATCTTCATATCCGGTGTTGTCTATTCCGACTTTGGCGTTTAGATCTCCCATCAGAATGGTGAGGTCTTTTCTTGAGCACTTCTCTATGATTGATTGCAGCCTCTCATAGAATTGGTCTTTAACGTCGTCGTCGCTATCATTAGTGGGTGCATAACATTGAATAATGTTCATTGTGATACCCGCCTTCTTTGTTTTGAATGATGCTTTGATGATTTTGGATCCGTGAGATTCCCATCCCACAAGTGCATTTTGTGCTACTTTGGAAAGCATTAGAGCCACTCCTTGAGTGTGTGGGGCATTTTCCTCTTCGTGACTGGAGTATAGCAGCATCTCTCCGGTATTTAACCTTTACTGTCCAGCTTGGGTCCAATGGGTTTCGCTGATTCCGAGTACTGCCAAGTTGTATCTCCTCATTTCCGTTGCTATTTGACTGGTCTTCCCGATCTCCCACGTTGTCCGGACGTTCCATGTACCTATAAAAATTGTTGCTCTGATTGTTAGAAGGGGCATCAGCCTGGTGGCTTCCGAAGGAACTCGGCTTTCAACATGAGGCGTTATATTTCTTCTTAATGAAGATCTTCTAACTTCCAGGGCAGAGTTTAAGTGGTTTGAGTTATTTTTTCTGGTTAGCGTTTTTTTAGCGAGTTAGGTTTCTACGGGATGGGGACGCTAACCCCATGCCCAACCCTCCTCCTTTATCCGGGCTTGGGACCGGCAGTAACTCTAGGAGAGCTACAGGCGGAGTTAATTGAGTGCATAGTTCTTGCATAAATAATTATTTACAACGTTCTTGGAAGTGGGTGACGATATTTTTCTTTATACGTCGCATGTGATCTACTAACTGACTGAAGACTACAGTATATTACACTAAACAAACAATTTGAATATATGATAAAACCAAAGCACATAAGCGTAACACTGATAACTTTAAGCAAACAACAATGTTTAGATGGAAATAATTGTGAATCAAACCGATATAAACGGTTGAGGAGTTGTTGTTAGTCTGATGTTCATGAATTACATTATTTTTCTCTCCTTAGTTTCAATCAATTCTGCCCACAGTACATGTAATGATAAATAAATTAATCAATATATATTTTCTTATCAATTAGCTAACAGTAAATAATAATTGATCCGCTAAACTACTTGTTCATTTGTTATTTAAATATTCTCTTCATTAAATTTATTAACTTAGACTTGCATGAATTGAAAACCTTAGTTGAACTGGATTTGGGCTCCAATCATTTGACAGAACTACCTACGGAAATCAATAAACTTGTTGCTCTTGAAGTACTACGATTAAACTATAATCAGTTAACAGTGAGTTATTTTAACTGTATTTACCTTTTTTTTCAATTTCTACTTTCCGGTTTACACATGAAAATATTTAAATTTTAATATTATTTGTTCAAATAATAACGTATGGTAATGATTTTGTTCATCACTATTTCTTTTTCTTAATCTATATCCTATTACTTGGTGTGTATTATTGACAAAGTAGTTCAGCATTTTCACTAAGTTAATGAACACGATGTTAAGGTTTACATTCTAGCTTCTGATTCTGCTAGCTTTGATATAGGTTGTCAGCGTTTAGTGTTATATATATATATATATATATATATATATATATATATATATATATATATATATATATATATAAATCTGCGTCCCTCTTCACCATTTGATTTCTATGAGTGCTGTGATACTGCCCGAGCGCCCAAAATGAAAAAGGTGGTGTTCTTAGAGGGGCCACTCAACAACCCTTTAACGTAAACCTCCAATCCTCAACACATGGTTGGAACAACGTTTGGAGATGCAGTCCCATGGTAGTCGATGACCAACAATAGGTTCATACACCATTTATTCCGTCAGGATCCTCCAACCCACGTGTATCATTGGTTTAGAATTAAGGTTTTCCAACTCTCCTAGGTAGACCTTCCGTGTCCACTAACCGGTTAGAGCACCGGACATTCGCCTTGCGTTCTCTCAATTGCGTAAACAACACCTATGCGGCGAGACAACAGTGAGTAGGACCTCGCTGACAGTGGTTGTAGTATACGCGTGTCCATGTGAGGGTATTTCGAGAGGGGTGGCGATCATTACCAAGAATTGATTTGACATCAAGAAAAAACTAATGTTTTCGACAAACAAATTTAAAATATCTTTGTCGAATTATCAGATAAAAGTCATACTTCAAATAGATGACAAGGCAGAAACCACTAAGCCATTTATATATTTACCAACCAACCAACTTACGCCTGTTACTCCCAATTGAGCATAGGCCGCCGACCAGCATTCTTCAACCCATTCTGTCCTGGGCCTTCTTTTCTAGTTCCATCCAATTCTTTTTCATTTTTCTCATATCTGTCTCCATTTCTCGGCGTAATGTATTCTTTGGTCTTCCTCTCCTCCTTCGACCTTGAGGATTCCATATGAGGGCTTGTCTTGTGACGCAGTTCGGTGCTTTCCTCAATGTGTGTCCTATCCACTTCCAGCGCTTCTTCCTGATTTCTTCCTCCACTGGGATCTGATTTGTTCTCTCCCACAGTAGGTTGTTGCTTATAGTGTCCGGTCAGCGGATCTGAAGTATTTTGCGTAGACAACTGTTAATAAACACCTGTATCTTTTGGACGATGGATTTCGTAGTTTTCCAGGTTTCCTCCCCATACAGTAGAACTGTCTTGACATTTGTATTGAAAATTCTGACTTTGGTGTTGGTTGCCAATTGTTTTGAGTTCCAGATATTCTTCACTTGTTAATATGCTGCTCTTGCTTTGCCAATCCGTGCCTTCACATCTGCATCAGATCCACCGTGTTCATCGATGATACTGCCCAAATATGTAAAGGTTTTTACATCTTCCAAAGCTTCTCCGTCAATTGTGATTGGATTGGTGCATGCTGTGTTGTGTCGAAGAATCTTGCTTTTCCCTTTGTGTATATTGAGATATATTGCTGCTAAGGCTGCTGCTACACTGGTTGTCTTCTCCTGCATTTGTTGTTGCGTATGCGATAGAAGAGCTAGATCATCTGCGAAGTCTAGATCATCCAATTGCATCCTAGCTGTCCACTGTATCCCGTGCTTCCCTTCAGAAGTTGATGTCTTCATGATCCAGTCGATCACCAGGAGAAAGAGGAAGGGTGAAAGTAAGCAACCTTGCCTGACACCGGTCTTTACTTCGAATGACTTTGTCAACTGTCCTCCATGAACGATTTTGCAGTTTAATCTATCGTAGGAATTCTGTATGATATTGACTATCTTCTGAGGCACGCCGTAGTGTCGAAGAAGCTTCCATAGGGTTGTTCTGTCCACGCTATCAAATGCTTTTTCGTAGTCGATGAAGTTGATATAGAGTGATGAACTCCATTCAATTGATTGTTCCACAATGATCCGTAGAGTTGCGATTTGGTCTGTGCACGATCTATCCTTACGGAATCCTGCCTGTTGGTCTCGAAGTTGGGCGTCTACGGAGTCCTTCATCCTGTTTAACAATACCCTGTTGAAGACTTTTCCTGGTATTGAAAGAAGAGTGATTCCCCTGTAGTTGTCACACTTGCTGAGATCGCCTTTCTTTGGTATTTTGACTAGAAGTTCTTCTTTCCAGTCTTTTGGTACCTGTTCCTCATCCCAGATCTTTCTGAAGAGAATGTGGAGTATCCTTGCAGTTACCGCTACGTCTGCTTTCAGTGCCTCTGCTGGAATGCTGTCTAGTCCTGCTGCTTTGCCACTCTTGATTTGTCTGATAGCCATGCTGATTTCTTCAATTGTCGGTGCGCCAACATCAATTGGGAGGTCTGTGAGTGCTGCTTCGATGTTGGGTGGGTTCAGTGGGGCTGGTCGATTCAAGAGTTCTTTGAAGTGTTCTACTCACCTGTTTCATTGTTCTTCAATGTTGGTGATTATCTTGCCTTCCTTGCTTTTCACTGGTCGTTCTGGTTTACGGTGATTTCCAGAGAGTTTCTTTGTTGTTTCATACAGTTGTCTCATGTTTCCTTCTCTGGCAGCCTTTTCCGCCGTCAATGCCAAATCTTCCACGTATTTACGTTTGTCAGTTCTGATGCTCCTCTTCACTTGATTGTTTACTTCTGTATATTCAGCCTGTGCCTTGACATTTTCTGCTGTTGTTCGACTGGTATTGATTGCTACTTTCTTGTTCCTCCTTTTTTGAATCTTATCCAGTGTATCGACCGTGATCCAATCCTTGTGATGGTGCTTCTTTTGGCCCAGAACCTCATGACATGTTGAAGTGATTGCCTCTTTTATCTCTTTCCAGTTGCTCTCCATAGTAGTTCCTTCTCCATTGAGTAGATCATGAAAGGCTTGGAACTTATTGCTGAGGGTTATCTTGAATTTATTGAGTTTGTCATTATTCCGAAGAAGAGACGTATTAAATTTTTGTGATATTGTCCTCCCCGTTGTCCAGTGCCTCTTGAGTTTCAATTTCATCTTGGCGACCAGCAAGTGATGATCTGATGCGATATCAGCTCCTCTCTTTGTTCTCACGTCCTCCTGAACTTTTTGTTGATGCAGATATGGTCGATTTGGTTCTGTGTGGTGTGATCCGGTGAAGTCCATGTGGTTTTGTGTATGCGTTTATGTGGGAATATAATCCCGCCTATAACCAGTTTATTGAAGGCACGTAGATTTCCAAATCTCTCACCATTTTCGTTCCTTTCTCCCAGTCCGTGTCGTCCCATGATCTCTTCATATCCGGTGTTGTCAATTCCAACCTTGGCATTTAGGTCTCCCATCAGAATAGTCAGGTCTTTTGTTGGGCACTTCTCGACGATTGACTGCAGCCTATCGTAGAATTGATCTTTAGCGTCTTCATTGTAGTCATTGGTAGGCGCGTAGCATTGGATGACGTTCATTGTAATGCCCTCTTTCTTCGTTTTGAAGGAGGCTTTGATGATCCTTAGTCCATGCATTTTGTGCTTGTTTGGACAACATCAGCGCAAATCCTTGTGTATGTGGGGCATTTTCATCTTCATGTCTAGAGTATAACAGCAGCTCCCCTGAAGCTAGTTGTTTTTGTCCAACTTGCGTCCAATGTGTTTCACTGATCCCAAGCACCTCTAAATTGTATCTCCTCATTTCTGAAGCAATTTGGAAAACTCTCCCAGTCTCCCACATTGTGCGAGCATTCCATGTACCTAAATAAATGGTTGCTCTGGTTGTCAGAACGGGCATCGGCCTCGTGACTTCCGAAGAAACTCGGCTTTCATCATGAGGCGTCATAATTCTTCTAAACGAAGACTTTCTGACTCCCAGGGCAGAGTTTAAATGGTTTGAATAATTTTTCTGGTTAATGTTTTTTAGTGAGCTAGTTTTCTACGGGGTGAGGTCGCTAACCCCATGCCCAACCCTCCTCATTTATCCGGGCTTGGGACCGGCAGTAGCCCCCGGAAAGGGACTCCAGGCGGAGTTATATATATATATATATATATATATATATATATATATATATATATATATATAATTTCATAAATACAGCTGTATACGAAGAAGTTTTCATTTTTCATAATGCGAAACAAATGGTACCAACAAGCAGATTCCTCATTATTTAAGTCACATTTATATATATAGTTAAGAGTAGGAAAAAATAAATCATTGAAACAATCTAAAGCAAAATGAAGTGGTGTAGCTATGATAATTTTATAGACAATAATCATATGGAGGAGTCATATGACATTGTTTTTTGTTTAAATCAACTTATACAATAGCTAAAATTAAAATATGAAAATGTTTTCAGAAAATAAAAATCTATACCAAAAACATATATATATATATATATATATATATATATATATATATATATATATATATATATATACATGAAATTATTTTACTATCAGTAATTCCTTTTTAAAACACTTTCCTTTTATTAAAAATGGTTATTTTATTACAGAAGCCAATATAAAAACAGACGCTACACTATCAATGTATTATATATTCGGGTGACAAACTTTTATTGTTCACATATTTTCTCTGCATACTTTAATCGTTGATAAGTCAAATTAAAAATTATTATTCTTTTATTATTATTATCATCACAATGGTTCAGAGCACAGAATATTTGGTAAGAATTAACTACATTAAAAAGAAATTAATTTGTTGAGTAATTCTTTTAAATTTGGTTGAATGAATCAAGTTATTAATAGAATTAATCCTATTAGAAATCATACAAGTAAATGATGACATCATGAATTAATACACATGTAAATATGTGAATAGAAAAATATTATTACTTAAAGTAATAACTGAAGTGAAAGATTTTTAAATTACAATATTATTTAAATATTAAGAAATCGTTAATTTTAAA